GAAAGGGGGAGAGCAGACAGCTCTTCTTATATCTGTTGTTTCTCTGTTGCCTTCAGCTCAAAATAATCAATATGCCAGTATGACATAATTGGTGGTGGTGTATTTTGATCCCTATCAGAATCCTAGCCTAGCTCTGAACTAATGTTTAATTATACCTGAAGAAGCTGCACTGGCTGGCTAAATATTTAATGACTTCAAAGAATCATTTTCTGTGTGTTTTTGTATTTTTTAGTTGAGATAGTGGTATTACGGCTATTTTTTAAAAGTCCTTATGTTTTAGAAATAATGTTGAAATAACATGATACGGTGCCTTATAAATAAAATATTTGTTTCAAAATAATAAAGGCAGGGTAAAAGGGGATGAGATATGGATAAAAAGAAATTGACCATGTGTTGATAAATGTGGAACCTGAGTAATGGGCACCTGGAGATTCATTCTCTCTATTTTTGTAAGTTTGAAAGTTTTCCATGTAAAACATTGAAGTAACAATGGCAACAGCAGCCTTGGAATTCACCATGAAGTTTTTAGAACCCTTTAAAAAGTAAATATGTGGAATCGTGGGGACTTAGCTGTATGCTAGCCCAACATGTCTACCCATGAGGAAGCTGAAGTGAAGAGAGATTGTTGTTGCTTTTGTGTTTCTTCAATGTTATCTAAATCATCTACTTAAAAATCACAGTGCCTACCATCCCTGTTTCACTCTTGCTATCAACACATGCTCCAGAAATTCTGTCTTGATTCTTGGTTCAAGCAGTTCTCTGCAATTCTCTCAGGCTTCAGCTCAGACCTAGAATTTAGTCCCCTATAAAGCAGTTCCAGTCCTCACCAGTGAATCTTACCAACCACAGGACATTAAGGCTTATCCCATGAGCGGAATTTACACTTGGCATCTTTGCGCTGTACTTGTGAATCGCGGAAGGACCACAGAAGTTACTGAGCTTTGCAGACCTGCGGGAATCCTCATGAGTGTCTTGTGTTGCTTTAACAAGGTACCCTTGTACGAGATCCCCTGTACTTTATCCAGTGAAGAGTGGATTTTCTAAAATAGTGGTTTTAAAGAAACCCAGTAGAAAACTAAAGAATAGAAAATGATTTAATATATATAATAAAAGGTGGTAGTATGCATAGTGGTTAAAAACACAGGCAGTGGAATATATCCTGCCATTACCCGCTGTGTGCCCTTGGGTGGATTGCTTAACTTCTCTGAGCACTGCGATAACAGCCACCTCTTCCAGCTTTGTGAGAGTTAAAGACGATCATGTGATAAAGTGCTGTGTGCACAGTACCCTCGACAAAATAAGAACTACCTAAGAACTATTTTAAATAGGGGTTATTATGTGAGTAAGGCCCTTACTGTGACATGCAGGAAATTAACGCAAAATGAGAAAGGGTATTGCGAAGGAAATGAGAAGACAGCAGGAGCCAAGCCTGAAGGAAGAAGCTGAGGCCTGGGGGCGCTGAGAATCCCAGCCCCGCTGGGCAGGGCCTCCAAGCTGGGGAGGTGCGGGGGTGCGCTGTTTGCAGAGGCGGGTGGGGCGGTGATGCTGATGTTTCTGCAGGAGGGAGCCGGGAGGTCCCTGAGCAGGGCCCAGTAAATGCTTCGGGGCTAGAATACCTCCCCTCTACAGCTCACCATGGGCTGAAGTACAGACCTCCCGCCTCCCTGCAGCGCACATCCGCCCTCTGGCGAGACCAGGCCGGCATCCAGCGTGGCCCGGAGGCCAGAACGCGCCCAGGCCATGGCCGCCCCTCCGTGGGCCTCCGTTTCTCGGGTGCTGAGTGAGTCGAAAAGCAAGGGCGTCTGATGGGAGCCTCAGTTTCTCCTCCGCCTGCCAGGAGGTCCTGTGCGTGCAGAGCGGCGGGTGCATGTGGCAGCGCAGGCGCGGGGCGAGGGCGGCTCCGGAGAGGCCCAGGGGCTCAGCGCGCCTGGCTTTCCACAGGCCGGCTTCGGGCTTCTACTCAAGACCGGGTTTCTCAGGCGGGGCGTGGTGTGCGCGCCTGTGGAATCATTTGCGCCTAGAGTTCGAGACCAGCCTGGGCAACATTGTGAGACCTCCCTCCCCACCCCGCACCACCACCGCTAAATCTCTAAACAAACAAACGAACAAATTAGCTGGATATTGTGGTACACACCTGTCGTCCCCACTGCTCGGGAGGCTGAGGGCAGAGGATCACTTGAGCCCAGGAGTTGGAGACCAGCTTGGGCAGCATGGTAAAACCCCGTCTCTAGGAAAATACAAAAATTAGCCGGGCGTGGTGGCACGCGCCTGTAGTCCTAGCTACTTGGGAGGCTGAGGCAGGAGGATTGCTTGAGCCCAGGAGGTCGAGGCTGCAGTGAACCGAGATTGCACCACTGCACTCCAGCTTGCGAGACGGGGCAGAGTGAGACCACGTCTCAAAAAATAAAAATTAAAAATAAAAAAGAGCAATTTCTCAACCCCCTCACTGACCTCTAGCCACATGCCTGTTAGCTCTGGGGTCAGCACCGTGTGGGGCTTACTTCCATGGCTGGTTGGGTAGTAGGGTGACCACACGACCGCACCCCACGCGGTTTGGAGCCCTTTCCGCCCTGCAGGGCCTGGAGCAATATTGTTTTTCTTTTTTTTTTTTTTGGCCAAGTTTAGATTAATTACTCCAGTCTTGGTCGTTTTTTAAATTGCATTTGGAAACCTATTATAGTGAATAATTATTATGTGAACCTTTTTAAAATCTGGTATCTATGGTTCCTGTGTTTGAGTAAATCCAGTTAAATTTGTTTTCATGTAGCGTGAGTCTATAGTTTTTGTATCTTACGCGTCTGTCGTGTCCAGAGAAATCAGGTACCCAGAGCTGGCAACTGGAAGATCCATCACCATGAGGCAGCGGTGTCACTGTCTCCATGGCCATCTTGATAACGGCATAATGCAGGATTGATCTTTACACGTGTGTGTGTGAAGTGTAAGTGTATGGACTTGGATGGCTCTTCGAAGGAAATTTTTTAAGGAAGCCTACAAACTCCCTTACTGGGTTAATGGGAGCATTAGAGGAAGATTCCAGAAGGAAACGTAAACCTAGGGAAACAAGATGATAACTGAGAGGTTTAGCCACCCCCTTCAGGGGGAGAATGTCTCTTTTTTTGTCAGCTGGGAACCATTTGGGTTTGTCGATAATGGTGACGGACAGATAGAGATATAGACTATGCCATAACTTACAAGATCGTCCCTGAGACTGTGAAATCAGAATTGGGTTTTCTGAACGCTAATAAAGCCTACACTCTGGATGTCTCACTTCTACTCCCCTTCTAAGGATTTATACCTAATTTTGTATTCATCGTTTTGCATCTCTTTTTTCAAAGAGAGCCTTCCAAATTGTGAGCATTAAACCCCTCACAGTGCTTGGATCCACCTTTGTATGGAATTGTGAGTCGTTAAGAAAAAGTGCTAGGGCCGGGCGCGGTGGCTCAAGCCTGTAATCCCAGCACTTTGGGAGGCCGAGACGGGCGGATCACGAGGTCAGGAGATCCAGACCATCCTGGCTAACACGGTGAAACCCCATCTCTACTAAAAAAAAATACAAAAAAACTAGCCGGCCGAGATGGCAGGCGCCTGTAGTCCCAGCTACTCGGGAGGCTGAGGCAGGAGAATGGCGTAAACCCGGGGGGCGGAGCTTGCAGTGAGCCGAGATCCGGCCACCACACTCCAGCCTGGGCGACAGAGTGAGACTCCGTCTCAAAAAAAAAAAAAGAAAAGAAAAGAAAAAGTGCTAGTCCTTCTGTTTTTCCTGCAAAGAATCTGTGTTGATTCCTAGAAATGTGTCAGCTGATAAGCATGAAGGAGGAGTCCCTGGGACAGGCCATGGAGCCTGAGAACCCTGAAGATCAAAGGCAGGCAAATAACGGCCGTGGGCAGGGTGTGAATGTCCCCACAAAGTGTTTTGTGAACACTAACAGAACTTCTTTTGTGTTTAGCTACTAATGTAGTCATTTGGGTCCATCGCCCTTTTGGGTAATATTACCAATATGAATTCATAAGCCCTTCATTTACTTTTGAGATGAAAAATGTTCTTTCGGAGCGTCTTGCTTGCCATAATAGTAGGTGAAGTTGAGCACAGTGACCTCATGGCTCTGAAATGAACGAAAAATCACAATTCACACTTAACTCCTAGTTTTTTTTTTAAATGAAAAAAGAAATAAATTATCATCCCCAAAGTGTGTGGTTTTTAAAGTTCCTTTTTTATGTACCTAATACATCTGGGCCAAATTTTAATCCATGTACTCAACCATGTCCATTCGTAATCATAGCTCACATAGAAAACGTAAAAGACAGAAGCTAAGACAAAACTTGTCCTTATAATATGCATTTTTTTCATGACTGAGATGGCAGTTCAACGAGTTAAGTTACTGAATACTAAATACTTTAGAATTATGCTGTTAAGTGTATTTATAGTTAATGTATGGTATTAACTTTGACATAATTTGCATTTTGGGGGACTTTCCAGAATGATAAAACTATTTTGAGCCAGGTGCAGTGGCTCACGCCTGTAATCCCAACACTTTGGGAGGCTGAGGCGGGTGAATCACTTGAGGTCAGGAGTTCGAGACCAGCCTGGCCAACATGGTGAAGCCCCATCTCTACTAAAGATACAAAAATTAACCAGTCACAGTGGCATGCGCCTATAATCCCAGCTTCTCAGGAGGCTGAGGCAGGAGAGTTGCTTAAACCTGGGAGGCAGAGGTTGCGGTGAGCCAAGATCGCGCCACTGCACTCCAGCCTGGGTGACAGAGCGAGACCCTGTCTGAAGAAAAAAAAAAAAAATTTGCAATTTGATTTGAGTAATGATAACATGCATGCATTTTTTAATCACACTAAACATAGAGTTGGTACATTTTACTATGTAAACTTCCATAAGGAAAATCTGAATGCTACTTGCAAAAGAAAGTTTTTGCGGTTTCTTTTTCCTTTTAACTTTTTAAAAGGTGATTACACATTTTTTTTTAATTTGTAACTCTTTTAAACTTTAGGAATTCTTTGACCATGTGAAAAAACTTTGGGACGATGAAGGAGTGAAGGCATGCTTTGAGAGATCCAATGAATACCAGCTGATTGACTGTGCACAATAGTAAGTTGTGTCCTGTACGAGTTACAGGGCCCTTTGAAGAATATGATTGCATGAATGATTATGCTGCCTTCTCAGTACTTCTGAAGTTTCTTGCGTGCAAGGAATGAATAATTAACCGTTTATGACAGAAATCAACTTTTAAAATGACACATGTTTAGTAGATGGAAAATTGAAAATCCAGTGAGAATCAACATTTCTGAGAACCCGAAAGTTTTGTTTATTTTGTCCTGATTGTTGTTTTCAGTTCTCTTCATTTTTTGACTTTTATGTAGAGCTATATGCATATTGGTAAGTTAAAGTGAACTTACATAGTTATTGTTATGTTTTGATTTTGGAGCAGGGGCCTCAAATTAAATTTTAAAATAATACGAACCTTGTGATCAAGGCCAGGCTCTTAAAGTAATGTGATCATTCTGTACACATTAGAAGTATACCAGAAAGCCGGGCCCCGTGGCTCACACCTGTAATCGCAGCACTTTGGGAGGCCAAGGCAGGTGGATCATCTGAGGTCAGGAATTCGAGACCAGCCTGGCCAACATGGTGAAACCCCGTCTCTACTAAAAATGCAAAAAATTAGCTAGGCGTGGTGGTGGGTGCCTGTAATCCCAGCTACTCGGGAGGCTGAGGCAGGACAATCACTTGAACCTGGGAGGCAGAGGTTGCAGTGAGCCAAGATTGCACCATTACACTCCAGCCTGGGCAACAGAGTGAGACTCTATCTCAAAAAAAAAAAAAAAAGGAAAAGGATACTGGTGCCATGGCTGGTTCATTGTTTTTCCCTGAAACACTTACTTTTCCATTTCGTTTTGCTGTATTAGATATATTCTATTACTATTAGAAAATAATGGTCCCTAGAACAATGTGAAATTATTAAGAAGTTCTAGATACGTTTGCTGTTTTGATAATTAAAAATTGTATTTCACTAGTTGTTTTATGTAACTCTGTGGATAGCAAGAAATGAAATATTTTCCATTTTAAATCTCTAAACTCTAAAAATTCATAGACATGGAAGAGATTCCATAGCATAAAATCTGGGAATTCAGTGTCTGGAACCAGTCAGTGGAGCTGCATTGTGAATGTTTATTTCCAGGAGGGAGTGGTTGTGTTGGCCCAAGCTCCTGCTTCCTAGGTTCTAGAACGTCCAGTCACCATCCCCCATGGGATGGGTCTGAAGCACCCAGCAAAGCCCAGAGAGCCAGGCTCCAAGGGGCCCATGGCAAGGGCCAGAGGAGGAGGAGGAGGAGGAGGAGAAGACACTAAGCATGGGTGGGGAAAGGAAGAGTGGCCATAAAGAAGTGAGGGAGGTCAGTGGGGTCAGACACCCCCAGGGCTGCTGAAGACCACAGCAAGGAACTTGGGTCATCTTTCAGCTACAGCGACCTGCCATCCCAGCCATCGGCTCCAAGCGTGAGGTTGTCAGGGAGAATAGAATGCAGAAGGCGGAGACCCTGTGAGGTGCCTTGGGTTGGGCCAGGGTAGCCGTACAGGTGAGTGCTGGACGCTGAAGGGGCAGAACTAGCTGGTGGACTTAATGAGGGAGGTGGAGGAAAGAAATCCAGGAGGGAACAGGGTGAACCACTGTGCCATTTACTGCAATGGGGACATCTAGGAGACTTAGGGAAGAGATCCAGCTCTGCTTTGGAGAAGCTGAGTTTGAGATGCCAAATGGAGAGCCATGTGGAGACATCAAGCAGTCAGTCTGTTGTCGGAGTCTGGAGCTCGGAAGAGAGGCAGATGGCCCCGGTGTACCGGTCATCCGCTGCTGACGGTATGCAGAGCCTGGGAATGCAGAGCACACGAGGAGTGCCCACAGAGAGGAGAGGGCCCTGGGCCTGAGAAAGTTCAGCTTCAGATGAGGAAGAGCCTCACAGCACATCTAGAAGAGAGGGAGTGCCCAGCAGAGGGCCTGGTCGTCCAGGCCAGACGGTGGAGAGACCCGGAAGGAGGAGGGCTGATGCTCCTAGTAAGATGGTACTTAACCTCCTTCTTACCTTGTCCAAGGACAGGACGTCCCACGTTCGGTCTGCTGGCATGTGGTGAGCGTGCTTGGCAAGGCAAAGCATAGTAAAGCATCAAGAATGGAGTGTACACCTGCTGCAGACACCCTCAGAGGACCATAGAAAGGGTTAGCTACCTCCTTATACGCTTCTGAAAGAAAGTATTTACTCACGAAAAGTTTTAATTACTGAAAAAGGTATTTAAAATGTCCTGGCCGGGCGCAGTGGCTCACGCCTGTAATCCCAGCACTTTGGGAGGCCGAGGAGGGTGGATCACCTGAGTTCAGGAGTTCAAGACCAGCCTGGCCAACATGGTGAAACCCTCATCTCTACTAAAAATACAGAAATTAGCTGGGTGTGGTGCTGGTCACTTGTAATCCCAGCTACTCGGGAGGCTGAAGCAGGAGAATCGCTTAAACCCGGGAGGCGGAGGTGGCAGTGAGCCGAGATCGCACACCTGTACTCCAGCCTGAGTGACAGAGCAAGGCTCGTCTCAAAAAAATAAAAATTTAAAAATTTAAAATGTCCTATTTCCTGCCATGCACGACAAGTCCTTCAAGATTCTCCCTAAATAATGTTTTTAAATTGGCCCCGCCCTTTCGTTTACGTTTGTGACTACAGTTCTGTGGTTGCTCTCATGTTATTTGGTTGCATTTGGCTCGGATATGGGAGTTTGGAAAGGCTCTCAGTGGAACACCAATGCAGTCTGAGCAGCCCTGGGAGGACTGCAGGTGCTGAAAAGGCCTTTTATCTTTTCCTCTTACTCTCACTCGCTCTTTCTGCAATATTTCAATCGTTAAATAGTCACTTAAGGCACAACAGAAGCTGGGCATGGTGGCAAATGCCTGTGGTCCCAGCTGCTGAGGAGGCTGAGCTGGGAGGATGTCTTGAGCCCAGGAGTTCAAGGCTGCCATGAGCTATCATTGTGCCACACACTGCAGCCTGGGCAACAGAGAGAGACCCTGTCTCAAAAATAAAAAGACACAACAGAATTGTATGTTCAACTCACAGTGCTTTAGGAGTGGGAAGAATATACCAGGAAAATGCTAGCAACTGGAATTTCTAAAGCAGTTCTTAATAATGTTAAAATTCATACACCGCTGCATTTGAAGTTGTGTGGGAATATGCATTCTGTCACCCTTTTCAGTATTTCAGTATTTATGGACAAAGACTGGCCTTGGAGAACACCACAGTTCTGTTCAATGTCACATTAGAAATTTATCTGTTGTAAAAAAAAAAAATGGACGAGTTATTCCCGCATCACCATAGTGAATAATTAATAATTTGATTTAAAATAGAATATGGAAAATAAATTCATGGAAAAGAAATGGTGTGAACTGACAAAGGGAGATCAGAATTCAGATTCTGGCCCCACCCCCGACCACTGTGTGAGAGTTTGGGCAAATTACTTTTATGGGAAAATTGAAATTAACAGGATCATTCTTAATACAGTTGTGGGATTAAATAAGTAGACATCCAAGTCCTCAAAATAGTGCCTGGCACTTAGTAAGCACTAGGTAAGTGTTTATCTCTTGCTAGAATTGTGACTGATAAAGAAAACTGACACCAGAGAGGTGCCTACGATCACAGTTTTCCCAGGAACAGATGAGACCACACCAAAAATCTTGCTATTTCTTTTAGATTTATTCTTTCAAATGACAGAAAGCCCAACAGATAAAAAACTGCCTTGTGAGCGAGGCCCCAGGGCCTCAGGCCAAGACTCCTTCCAGGCTTGTCAGGAATAAAACACCTTTAGCCAAAGCCTCTGTTCCAGCTTTCTGAACCCTGGGCCTGACAGAATTAAGAAACCAGTTCCCCCTTGAGCCTCACTATCCTAGGCTAATTGTAACTTCTCCAATTAGCTTGTTTCACCCATTTTAATACATATGGGAATCATGTTGGAGCAATAACCTTGCATCCTAATAAACTACTTGTTTTTCCTCTAGGGTCAGATTCTGGGATTGAGGGATGAGGGATTTCAAAAACAAGTGACATTTCAGTAATTCTGTTAGACCAATGTAGGACTGCCAAATTTTTTTACTTTGCCAAATAAGATGTTAGAAAAACTACAGGCTGCTTCCATCTCCCACCACCGTCACTTCATAAAATAAAGGACATTTCGAAACAGGCCAATAACAGGATGTGACTCAGAGTGCAGTCCTCGGACCACGAGACTGTGTGTATTGTTCAGCCCACTAGGTTTTGAATTCTCCAGGGAATGTGTCTTATTCATATTTAAATGCCCAGCTCCTAGGTGGGTGTTCTCGTATGAAGTCAATGCTCAGTCAATAGGCGCGGTAGCTCACGCCTGTAATCCTAGCACTTTGGGAGGCCGAGGTGGGTGGATCACTTGAGGTCAGGAATTCGAGACCAACCTGACAAACATGGTGAAACCCCGTCTCTACTAAAAATACAAAAATTAGCTGGGCATGGTGGTGCACACCTGTAATTCCAGCTACTCAGGAGGCTGAGGCAGGAGAATTGCTTGAACCCAGGAGGTAGAGGTTGCAGTGAGCAGAAGTCACTGCACTCCATCGTGGGCAAAAGAGCAAGACTCTGTCTCAAAAAATAAATAAATACATAAAGTCAGTGCTCGGTCGGTGCTGTCTGAAATACATGAGTTGGCCAAAGAAGAGCTGGTATTTGATGTGTTATTGACGGGAAAAGCCAACCCTTGACTCCTTGACGGGTCCACACACACTCGCCTTTCCCCATGCTGTGATTGCCACTATTCCTGCATGTTTTCCATTTTCTTTATACCTGAATTGCTCTTGGGAAAGCTGTGACTTAAATCTTGGTGTGACACTAAGTCACTGTGTTACCTTGCTCAACAGAATTGCATCTTTCTTTCTTTTTTTTTTTTTTTTCTGAGACGGAGTTTCGCTCTTGTTGCCCAGGCTGGAGTTCAAAGGCACAATCTTGGCTCACTGCAACCTCCACCTCCCGGGTTCAAGCGATTCTCCTGCCTCAGCCTCAGAATTGCATCTTGAACCCTAGTGCTTA